AGGTTAGAGTATATGGTAAATTGATTACAACCAGCTATTCCAGTACTGATAACGTTTGTGTATCATCGTCAATATTCCATAAATATATTTGACATTTTTTGGCAGCTATATATATATATATATTTTTCTCTGTCGAGATGTGCTTCAAGCTACCTTTTCTCTTGGCAGTAGAAAACTAATTGCAATTTAGAATCTTGTAATTATCCTCTTATTTCGCCACCTGGCGGCAACTCTGAGATCGAGCGAGAAGGTTAGATGAGGTAGCATAATCATGAAAACCTGTTGTTTGTGAATTGAAGAAGCCTTGTCTTTATTTAGCTTCTACGTAGCGCAACGTCGTAATTGGCAGTATCGTGGAGTGACGAAGAAGGCGACTCGATATATACGCATGCCTATACACAGGTGTGCCCAAAGCCGTTCTCCTCGGAGACGAGGAAGGACAGTATCACATGGAAAGTCGGAGGAGGATTAAACACTGACGACCTTGATGTAGATAGGTTGGCACTGTTTAATGGGGCTACTTTCCACTTTCTTCGATCCCTGAATCTTTCTCATTAGCCTCTTTTTACCCTGAGTATTAATGAGATTTGTTTAATACCGTCGAAACGGGATTGAGTCACAGGCTCGCCGGCCTATTCTGCTTGATGTTTTCAATGGCTAGGTAAATGGAACCGGGAGGTGGTTGGAAGAAAATGAAGACAGCAATCGCGTCGAAATAGAAACGCTCTTGCAATGATTGTCTGTCCAAAGTCTGTAATTAGCTGAGCGCGGGAGCGGTTCTGAAGCAAGAATGTTGAGCCGTTGTTAGTCGAAATCAAAATGCCGCTTGACTACATTTAAAGCTTCAAATGGCAATTTTAATGGCGCTTTTCTCTCTTTGTGCTAAATTCCTAGATTGACTTTTAAAGCATACCACGTAGCCACTGGCATATTTCAAATTCCATTGAGATAACCCTACTTGATGATATATTCTACTTGGAACAAGAGTAGCAACAGAACAAAATCAGATTCCATCATAAAAAATTCAGAATGCGGAATTAATAAATTCTAAACGCTGAAAATATTACTTCGCTGTCTGGACCAGTTAAAACAAATTTAGCAAAGAAATTAGAAAATAATAAACAGAGGATAGATTGCGCTTGAAATATATATTTAGATGCCAAAAACTGCTATACATTTAGAGAACCTTGATACAATACAAAAAAGAATCTGAAATGTTATAAGTCCTGACCTGACAACTCGGCTTCAGTCGCTTTCCCACCGTCGTGACGTAGGTTCCCCGTACTTTTTCTATAAACGTTTTCATAGTCTCTTGTTTATAAATTGTATTTATTGGGCATTTTGACGTGGTGTATTGGTTAGCAAGCTTGTCTCGCTACTGAGTAATGAGTTTAATCCTTACAGGGTGCCCATTAATTTAGACTTTGTGCCACATCTAAATTTGGAAAATCATTATAAATTTTATTTATTGTAAATATTCATTGGGGTTTCATTTTTAAATGTTACTGTTTTGATTGCACCCCACAGACAAATTGTATATATCAATTTTCCAAGAGTAGCTTAAATGTGGCACAAGGCCGAAAGTATGGGGCACCCAGTGAGAACTCACTTCTCAGTCGTAATTTTTCTAGCAAGACAAGTTTGTTAACCATTATACCGCCTCGAGGTGCCCCAGACAAATTATATATATATATGTGAACTGTCTAGGAGTAAATAGGCTTTAATGTATTATGGTGGCTGTAGTAAGAATGGTAAGTAAGAATGTGTTGTTTTGGTGTAAGGAAGACTGTGGTATGTTTGGGTCAGTAATCGTGGCTAGCTAAATTTAAGATAAAACAATTGAAGTCTAATCTTCTATCCCCCGCTTTTGGCCTTGTGCTACATCTTTTATATTATTCAAATAAGCGCAGTACTAGATTGGCGGCAAGGTCTCATTTGAACTGGCTAAATATAACCGTAAGTTCTACGCTAACAGTTTCTTCTCTCGCACTTCTCTCTTGAGGAACTCTCTTCCGGTGTCTTGTTTTCCAGTCAGTTTTGAGCCTCAAAAGTTTAAATACAATGTCAATTGTTATCTTTTGTCTTCTCCATTCCTATTCACATTATTCGGACTACCGTCCTCATCTTTGTTTCCATATTTATCACAACGTTTCGGCCGTTGTACGCTCCGGCCTTCTTCAGGGAGTTGTAATATCGAACTGAACCATTTATTTCGCTCGCTGGGATAGACTGTTCTAGATCCACGTGCCATGTCTAATGGATCTCAGTTATCAGTTATCTCCTGTTAGTTCCCTTCTCCAAGTTCTCCACTGCCTTAACCGAGTATTGAACTCACAATTCTTTGGGTCCTGTCACTGGATCTAACCAACGCCTCTATCCGCTGTGTCTTGTGTCTTACCATTCCTGTTCTCGTATTTTTCTCTCTCCTTAATAGTGCCTCTTTTCTCATATTCTTTTAAATTCAGTAACTTCTAGCTTTATTACCTTGCTTGGGTTGAAA